AGCCATCTCGGGCCAAACCCTGCTGCTGGAGGGCCTTTTTTACCCAAACCTGCCCTAGCCTCTGTCCAGGCCGAGTTGCTGGACATGCTCTAAGGCTAACAATTGGATTTCAAGAGTAATTATATTATACCTTAAAACATAAATTCATCATTGCACCTGTTAATTATACAATAATATTCCGACACCATACAATAATTTCTCTCTCGAATTCCAGCATAAGAAAAATATAAAGGTGGTGGTAATAAGGATTATGGATAATGATATTTTTTGTTTATCCATACATTTCAACCAACTGAAGACAATTTCATAATTGTATCAACAAAAATTATCTCAAAGAGTAAGAGTTATTAACTTATTATCTGCACACATAATATAATAGGGTATGATGTTTTGTTACATTTTCTCTCTCAACCCACTAGGCCCAAGCAAAACCACTATACAAGTAGAAAAGTTTTCGGTCTCACTCGAATAAATATGGGCAATAGGCCATTACTGTGGCACAATTTCTTCAGAGGAAAAAATTGTAAGCAAGGTTTCAAACTAGTACAGGCTTGTTCTTGGTTGAATTTCTACCAATGGAGCAAAGTTTTGAGCAAAACCAGAACCAAAATCCCTTCTTCTTCTTCTTCAATAGTTGAAATGTAGCATTCTCTATCTTGGCAACATAATCTGCCATGTACAGTACAACTGCCTGGTGATCAACAAACAAGTTGAATATGAGTTTTTTATATATCAAAGCTAGACATACACAGACTAAAAACCCTAGTAGCATATATATTTTGCATTACCTGGGCACCCATTTTTATAACTTCTTTTGGTGGAACTTCCAAAGGTGTCTCCTCGGCACGAAAAACTCTCAGTTTTGACAAAAGTCTGAAGGAGTGTGGTAAAGTTCTAATCTGATCATCACTTATATCCAACTCTTCAAGCATCTCAAGATTTCCGATTGATCGTGGCAAGGCTCTTAAGTCTGCAAAATTGTTTGCCAGATTCAGTTTTTTTATGCTCACTGCAAAGCACAAGTTTTCGGGTATGGATTCTATTTCGTTGAAGCTGACATCAAGCTCCTTCAGATTGTTAAGATTCCCAACAGTTGTTGGCAACCGTTTAATTCTGTTGTAGTGAAGTGCAAGAACCTCTAAGCTTTTGAGCTTTCCAATTGCCTCTGGCAGAGCTCTTAGCTGATTGAAATCCAAATGTAGCTCCACAAGTGATGTGCAGGATCCAATCGTGTAAGGCAATTCCTCAAGCTCATTTGTTTCAGCATTCAATATCTTCAAACTGGCCAATTTCCCAATTACATTAGGCAAATGGGTGAACTGATTTGAACTCAAATCAAGGGTAATGAGGTTAATCAAGTTCCTAAATGAAGCTGGCAGAGACTTCAACAGGTTTGCATGGAGATCAAGATCAGTGAGATTGCTCAACTCACCAAATGACTCTGGAAGGTTTATAAGCTGGTTTGAGTGAATGTCAAGCTTTGTTAAG